TCTTGTGCCTCGGTTTCTCGGTGCTGTCATGGACGCTCTCTTAAGTGCTTAGCCCTTTGACTACTTCGATGTGTAGAGAATAACGATGAATTTCTTCAATCCTTAAACTCTCACATTCCAGTTTTAATTAGACCTAAGAAAACTGGCTGAAACAGTGTTAACTATTGATAACTCAAAATTCTATTTCTCTTCTCTTTCTCTTCAATACCCATCAAACAAAAAAAAACATGTTCTTATAAATAACCACGTGTAAGTGTGAATGTTTTTTTAGTCGTTTAGAAATAAAGACACCATACATACTCAATTTCCATGAAGAAACTTTATCGTATTTTAAAACCTTTGGCTAATCGATAGTGTTTTGTTAATATGGTTTTTTGCAATATTCAACTTTTATCTCTGTGTAAAACCATTAAAAGAATATGCAGCATCTATCGGTTTGAATGAAACGCCTACTATTCTTGATACTATGACTTATTACACACCAGAGGAAGGTTATCAAACTCTTTCAGATTTGGGAGATGACGGTCGACGTGCTTATCGACTAACAAACAACGCTGAATTTGTTTTTCCAATATTATTATTTCTTTCATTATCTTTATCTAATTTGGCGATGGGAAAGGGACATCATTACATAACTGGTCCATTTCTGTATATGATTTTTGAATACATTGAAAATCTTGCAGAAAAATATGTATTGGAAATTTATCCAAATCGGCATGATACTGTAATGAAATTAGCTTGTTATGCTGGCTTGATAAAGTTTGTTTTTATGTCGACAAGTGTTCTTATAGTAATCGTTCATTTTTTTATATATCTTTTATGTTCAAATGAAAAGAAAGAAAAAATCTAAATAAATTCTTTGGAATATCGATTATATCCTCAAAATGTGATAAAAAACACTTTTTGTTATAAATTAATATTTATAAGATAAGAATCAAAGTAAATATCATTCTGCATCTTAACTTTATCTAAGAAGAAAAGTTAAATTGAAATTTTTATTATAATGTATCCGATAATATTATCATTTACTTTGATTATATTGATCATTAATCAAATCTATAGTACTCCACTTGATGATTATGTTAATACACCTGATCCAACTTATATTTGGAAACACCTTAAAACGTCACAACAATGGTTTAATAGTATAATCATTCAAAAAGAAAAGAAAATTTTCTAAATTGTATTATTTTCTTTTTAGATTCATTTTCATCTCGATCAATATGGTGGCATTATATGATTATTACTGTACCAAATATTCTCAGACGTTCAAATAATGCTTTTGTGCGTATCGTAGGTGGAAATAATAATGAACCGTAAAATCATTTTATTAATATATTTTCTATAATTTTGTTTTTCAAATTAGTGAACCTACGAAAAGTTCCACAACAGCATTTGCAGACCATTTACAATTTCACAAAAACAAAATATCAAAAACTTCTTTGACGGGCAGCTTCTTTGTATGCACAAATATATTGGCATCGACATATGACTAATTTTTCTGTGATCAAACCAAAAATATTTGTAATGCCTCCTATACTTAGATTATTTTCTATTAGTAACAGGTCGAGATCTTTTATGTTTCGGTAGCAATTATTTATACTTATTGAAATATTTGCAGAAATGTTTTTCACAACTATTTTTCACTCATATCCACACACCCACACCCACCCTTTATTTTCTAAAAGTAACAAATTCATCTCGATCTTGATATCAAAAAAAAAATTACCACCATGTAACTTATTCAATTCTCAAATTGACTGCTTTCTTTTTAGGAACAAACTATCAAAATAAAATAAATGAAATACAATTGTATTGAACAGAGTATAACCTTTGAGTATTTTACATAAACCACCAGAATACACAAAAATTATATAGGAGTACTCATGAAATATGACTTGTATTTAATTAGTCAATAAAAAATTTAAATAACAATAATTTAACCAAAATATCAATAAATATAATCAATTAAGGAAATACAACAGTATCCTTGGATTTAATTATATTCAAATGGATATAGAAGTAAACGTATTTCTGGAGTTATTCAATAAGCAATTTAAAAATTCAAAAATGTAAAAGAATAAATGAGACATGCATTCGTTATATTCATCACATGTGTGTCATATGGTATTTTTCCTATTCTTTGGTTTATTTCTCTCACGTACTGAACGGTGCTTTTTTCAAGTGAAAAAGAAAGACATGACATTATCTTTTCTCCTCTCGCTTATATAAATCTCACTAGACATACAATAGGACTTGCGAGACGACTAAAATAATGCAAACCCCCACGTGCAGCTAAAGATGTAAAATGGGTGAAAAAAGAAAACGTGGTCGTCCTCAAAAGGCCACTAAAGCTTTAATAACAAAGTAATTCTAATTATTTGTGCTTCATTATTTATCAATGATTAATATTATAATTGTCAAAATTTATTTCTCTATTTGTTGAAAATATCAACTGCGTATGTGATATCATAGCAGTTAATAATTCTATTTGATCGGAAGGAACAAGAGAAAATATTTGCAGGAATATGTTCACAAACAAATATGATACACATAGAAATGACGCATTCGATATCTACCCATATGTTTCAGTTAATTGAAAATCAGGTGGTCTTCTATATTCTCTCTTTCTAGATAAGTATTTAAACAGTTGCAATTTTCTGTAATGATGAATAAAAAGTAGAAGATATTTTTTCAAGTAATTATTATGAACATTCAAATGATATTTTTTATTATATTATTCGACATGGTAATGACAGAATCGGGCATGTCATTATTCTATAACACCAATCCCATTCATAAAACGAATTTCGATTGTTTTTATGCTCATATGATTGATGACTTTCATCAAAATAATGGAACTTTTCTTCGTACAAATAGCTTGACTCCATATTGTCTACGTCCATTATTGAATGATTCTACTGATGAAAATTCAACGCTGATTGTTGGATCGATACAAAACACAATTACATTTAAAAGTTTACGTTCTCAACAAATTCGTAGTGAAGAATTACTTCAATGGTCTATATCAATTGATATAATTGAAGCATATGCTATATATCTTATTAAAAATGATACGAAATTTGATGAATATGTCTTCTACAATTGTTCATTATCATGGTTTGGTTCTCGTTGTCAATATACATTTGGTTTAAATATTTCAATTCAATCATTTGGAGAGTTCCTAGTTAGTTCATTTGATAATCGAAAAAAATTTAAAAATCAATTAATAATAAATACTTGTTATCAATATTTACCTGAATGTTATCGTGGTCCTTCGCCGATGTGTTTGGATTGGCGTGAAATATGTAATGGAATAATTGATTGTATTGGAGTTGGAGATAGTTTTGGGATAGATGAAGATCATTGTGAAGAACTTGAAATGAATGAATGTAAAGAAGATGAATATCGATGTCAAAATGGAGCACACTGTATTCCATTAGAATTTTTTCGAGATGGTTGGCCTAGTAAAGATTGTTTAGATGGAACAGATGAAGAGGATTTTCCTAAACACATGCTGGCGATCGATGATTTTACTGAATTAGATTGCATAGGATATGTAACATTTTCTTGTGAAGAACGTAGTTGTCGTGATTGGCAATCATTTCCATGTGGTGATGGGCAATGTCGTCCTTATGGACTTAGAGACATTTATGACTACCCGGAAGGACTTTTGTGTCCAGGTACAAGTCGAGACGACTATTATCTTCGATTAATTTATATAACTGTCAGACAACTGCCGAAAGATTGCTATAAATTACTATCGTATAAACTAAAACTTGCTTTTTCTTATAAAAACATCACATTTGACGAAGAATACTGGTCACCTGATGAGTTACTATCAACAAATAATTGTTCATTAGACCACATACCGTTTCCTGCCGAGCCTGTCTTCAATGGTTTTTTTCAGGTTATCTATTCCTTGGAAAATTTGATCGAAAATCTGCTCAACGATGCATCGCCTGATTATGTTTGCAATGATCCACGACAATGTCTACATCTACCAGAAACAACAATTCATATAGGAGGTTTAGATTGTCGTCCGTTTCAAAATACGACTGGGACCTTCTATGTTTCAAGTTTATTATATTTACATTCTGCACTTATTCCACTCGCCGATTCTTGTTCGAAAATGGGCAGTATAAATAAATATCCATCGAATTCATCGTTATTTTTCTGTGAATTATCTAAAAGATTCATTTCAAAACATCGTCTTGTCGATGGTATCGATGATTGTGATTATAGAGAAGATGAAGAATATCCATATAGTTGTTTATTAAATGATTCTCAACGTTATTCATGTCCAGCGGAGGATAAATGTTTATCACCTTTAGGTCTTGGTTATACTTTACCTGACTGCATAGGTGACAATGGTCCAAGTATTTATCAATCACGACGATTTGTATTTACACACTTATGTAATTTAGTTCCCGACTATGAAGAGGAAAACCATGAAACCGATGAAACCAATTGTGAATGGTGGCCATGTTATACTCCATACACACGATGTGATGAACTTTATCAATGTACCAATGCTATTGATGAAACAGGTTGTCCTGCTTTTGGTTGTGCCGCGAATGAATTAAAGTGTGATATTGAAAATCCTGTTGGCCATCGATGTATTTCTCACGATTATATCTACGAAAAAGCGATCAATTGCAGTGGTATACCTGTCCCTGATCGAAGATTATTTTATTCGAGCAATTTTACTAATGAGAAAAATGAATATTTATCATGGAAGGAAATAACTTGTTTAACAGAGAACCATATTTGTGGTCATCAATCAATTAATAATCCTAATTTAGTGTGCAATCCATACATTGCAGGGAAATTTAGTTTATATACCGACTCATTAACGAATATCGATAATAATGAATCATTATGTACATTAAAAAGCGTTTTTTCTCTTCGGATATATATTCGTTACTTTTCTGCATGGAATCTTGGATATTTTCCATTAAGAATAAATTCTACATCATCATTGTCTCGTCAAAATATTAATGTGAAAAAAAGTTTAATGTATCCATTGAATAATAATATTAAATTAATCGAATATTGTAATCGTGGTTTTATTATATATGAAGGAAAATCTAATAAAAAGAAATGTTTATGTCCTCCAAATTATTTTGGTTCGCAATGTCAATGGCAAAGTCAACGTATTAGTTTAACACTTAAAATACGTAAATTAATTTCAATCGATAAAATTCATTTGGTTTATCAAATATTTATTTATTTAATTGACGATGAAAATCAAATAAAACATTATTATGAACGAATTAATTATATTCCATCACGAGATTGTCTAACTAAATTTAATCGTTATTTACTTTATCCAAATCGTCCTAAAAATAAGAATAAAAAGTATTCAATCCATATTGATATATATGATAAAATAACATTAGATTATTATGCTAGTTATTATTTAAGTATTCCTTTTCAATTTTTACCAGTTAATCGATTATCTACTAAATTAATAATTTCATCAGATAAATCTCAATCATCAGCAAATTGCCCATTAGATTGTGGAAGTCATGGGAAATGTTTTGATTATGTTAATATACCAAAATCATTTTGTCAATGTAATCAAGGATATTCAGGCCGTTTTTGTAATTTAACATATGAATGTTTATGTTCACCTGATTCAATCTGTTTAAATTCATCAATTTGTTTATGTCCATCCGATAAATTTGGTTCTCAATGTTATTTACAACATACATCTTGTCAACCTCATAATCCATGCCAAAATAATGGACAATGTATGCCTATTGATGATCGAATTAATGAGAAAGATTTTATATGTTTTTGTAGTGAAGGTTTTATGGGATTAAATTGTCAATATAAATCAAATCAAATTGATATTCATTTTAAAACAAATATTATTCCATCAATAATATTTGTTCATTTGATAAATGCATTTGATAATAAACCACATGAACGAATAACAATATTTAAAAAAGTTCCGATTGATGAACAATCAGTGACATTATTTATTGAACATACATTTAACATTTTATTTATTCAATTTCATAATAACTCTTATCTTACTGTTATAAGGGAGAAATTTGTTCCATCTGAACATATTTCTACTGATGTCAAAAGCGAGAATATATGCGTTAATGTGAGTACATTTTTCAATGCAACAATACTTAATTATACTTATCTTCGTCGATTAAAATATTATCAATTTCCATGTCTTCAAAATCCCCATTTGAAATGTTTTTATGATGAAATACATATGTGTATTTGTGATCAAAATCGATATACTAATTGTTTAGAATTTGATCATAATATTTCATATGATTGTCAACGAGATAATCCTT